TACCTCTCATTTCTCAGTCCCTTGCCACCTGCTTCTGATGTCACCACTTTACTGAGACTGCTCTCTCCAAGGTTATCAAAGGTCTTCTAACTGCTAAATCCATGATCTTTTCTCAGAGGTCATCCTATTCGACCTCTCTGCAGCTTTGGACACTGTTCATCAATTGAATTGGGTTCAATTCTCCAAGCATTTCTTAAGCACCTACTATGTGCAAGATATTGTACAGAGACAAAAATTAAGTCATTCCTACCCTCAAGGAGCTTACATTCTACTGGAGGGATATGACATGCACAAGTAAGTAAAACACAAAGGACAAGGTTATACAAAGTACTTTCATGAAGAGAGAGCTTTCACTAGGTGGGGGGGAGGATAAGGAAAGGCCTCAGCAAGGAGATGGTACATGAGGTGTGCTTTGAAGGAAGCTGGGGTTTTTAGAAGGTGAGAAAAAAGTGCATTCTAGACATGGGGAACCCCTTGTGTAAAGGAGGGTGGATTACTGAAGAAGAAACATAATTTCTTGGAATACTTGGTTGTTTTTGAAATGCAATGTTCATGAAAAGCATTTGCAAAAAGACCGCCATGAAGGGAAGCGAACCTGACATATGTCTGCAGCATCTGCTACATAATATAAGCGGAGCATTCTCAGCGGGGATGCAAGAAGGGAATGGACAGCCTTTTGGAAATGAATCTCCAGCAGAATACATCTATACAGTCACATAAGTGACTGAAAGATGCAGATGATACATGATTCTGTTGTCTTTAATGTTTGAACATTCAGTTTGCTAGAGAAAAACATCACTTTAATGCCTCAAAGTCCTAAGTGTGGGTCAAAATTGCACAAAGTTTCTTGAAAAGACTTAGGCAAATTTGTTCAATGACCCTCTGATTAAAAGTGAGGCATAAAACAGCGACATGTCTGCTTTGCAAACATGCTTTCTTACTTTTGTATATGTCCAGGTGAAGAGTTCAAATGGAAGATGACTACCTATGAAAACCTCTAGGTTCTCTAATGCTCCAGCTGATAAATGACATCTCTCCAATTGCATCAATCCCTAGACCATTTCAGAGACTCATAGATGAGATTTATCAGCCCTCAAAAAAGTTAGGTCTAACTACCCACAAGGGAAAAACTAAGTGGCTAAAGGATAGCTATTGTCCAGACTATGATATGCAGGTAGGGGCTGGGCCAGGATTGAATAGGAGGAGAAGAGAAGGGTGATTTGCTTTGGGGAAACTGTACAGTGTTTTTAATGGCCTAAGCTTCAGGCCTATATTTTTAACATCGATATTCTTCCAGTGATGCTCGATGGGTATGAGTCATGAATTACTACAGCTGCTGAAAAGTGAATATTGCAGGTCACCCCAAGGCCGGTGGAGACGTGCGTGGTGGGTGAGAGCAGGCTGCAACACATTACTAATAAATAATTGCATAGGAGAAGCATGCATAAATATTGACACCAGAAAGAGGTATGATGGGAAAAGAAATTTGAGTAGTCGTGTACTAAAATCAATGGATAACCAGGGACATCCACACATTATCAAGTGATCTAGGACAGTGGTTTCCAAAGTAGACCGTGTGATCAACCAATCAGAGCGTGGCAAGATTCACCTTCTCCTGGATAGCCAAGGGCAGGGCTTGTCTCCAACAAGATCAAACCTCCACTTATCCTCCAATACTCTTTCGCTCATTATGCCCATTTCATAGATGAGGAGATATCCCATTCTCTTACTCTGCAAATTCTTATCTTCTTCTGATTTCTTAAGCACCTATTATGGGCAGGGCATTATGCCAGGCACAAGAGACAAAAATGAAATCATTCCTACCCTCGAGGAGCTCACAATCTGCCAAAGGGATATGACATATACACAAATAAGTAAACACAAAGGATAAGGTTACACGAAGTAATTTCATGAAGGAGAGAGCTTTAAGGACTGGGAGGGGAGGGAAGGATAAGGATCTCTGCTAAGAGATGGCACATAAGCTAGGATTTGATAGACCTTTGAATACCTTAGAAAGAGCAATGTCAGTAGAGTGGTGATGTCAGAAGTAGAGGGAGGCGAGGAAACAGAATCAGTTTGCCAGAACTGGACTGGGCCTCAGAGGTCATTCCCTTCTGAGCTAAGCATTGCCCACTCATAGTTATCATAACTTATCCGCTGCCCAACACCCATAGCAGAAACTGCATAGTTATCATTGGAAAAATTCAACACTCTCCCTGCTAATGAACCCATTCCCTGACCCCCAGATCACCTCACAGCTGTGATAGCTTCCCCCCCACCCAAGATGGTGGGGTCTACAGTTTGGGACAGTGTCCAGTGAGGAAAAGCCCTCCTCTCCCCTTTTCATTTCAGATAGGCTAGAATGAGCTGCACAAATTGAGTAGGCACAGACAGCTACAGCAGACCCCAGAATCAGCTCTTTACATTATCTTTTCCTCCAAATTCACCCTCTTTCAAACTTGCAAACAATAATAATTGTTGAGGGAACAACTGTCCTTGTAGTCACTCGGTTTCATAACTTCAGTATTATTCTTAACTCTTACTCTCCTTTACCCTACAGAGATAACCAATCGCCAAATCTTGTCCTTTCCTTTTCCATATTCTCTCCTCTGTTCGCTTTTCTCTCCTCACATAGCCTCTACCCTAGCTCAGGAACTCATCACCCCTCGCCAAAATATTGCCATAGCTCCTGATTTGTCTCCCTGCCTCTAACTTCTCCTCTTTCCAATCCACCCTCCATCCAGCTGCCAAAGGGATTTTCTTCAAATGCAGATCTGACTGCATGGAGCCCTGTCCTGCTCAGTGAATTCCAGCTGTTCCCTTTTCACTCTAGAAACAAGTATCATGTAATATTATCTCACTCTATTTTAATTTCCATTTTTGCAAGTTTTATAATGTACAAAATATCAATACATAATACAGTGTACATAAATATCAGTACATAATATAATGCACATAACTATAATATAAATATAATGTACACAAATATCAGTACATGATATAATTTATATACATATAAAGAAAATATATTTTATTATATTATGTACATTATATTTATTTATATGTATATAAACTATAAATATATAAATATAATATAATATATAAATTATATATAAATATATAATGTATGTAAATATCAGTACATAATATAATGCACATAAATATAATATAAATATAATGTACATAAATATCAGTACATGATATAATTTATATACATATAATGCACATAGTATAATATACACATAAATATCAGTATATAATATGTACATACATGTAACTGCTATATGCAAATATTGATTTATTATCGAAGGTTATATTAATATTATGAAATTATTAAATTTGATTAGACCATGAATAAATACATATTAATTAATAATAAATTTTAAAGCTAATTGGGGATGTTTGCTCAAAAGGATTTTAAAATCTATTGAGGATGTTTTGCTCTGTGGAGAGCACTGATGTAGGAAGGCTGGGTAGATACCCTGTGAAGGGTTTGTGGGAGAGCAGAGATAAGAGCGCAGGGTGAGAAGGTGTGGATGAGTAGTAAGCTACGCTCTGCTCCGAGTGCCAGCATCTGTGAGGTTACAGAACCATGAAAGTGTTGACACAATCATCTTCCAGCATTCCCCTTCACACTCTAAATTCTAGCCAGACCGGATGACTGATCAGGCCCTGGACTTTTCCACACTCACCAACTCTCAGCGGCTCTTCATGTCATTCTGTCTCTCATTGTGTATGATGAGCTAGAATGCTCAACCCTCAGCTGCCATGGCTGTTCATCCTTTGCTTCAAGGCCCAGCTCAGGGGCTATCATGGTCACATTTCTCTTATAGTAATCTGTACCCACTTCTTATCCTGTCAGGAAGACTGGAAACTTCCTGAAGTCAAAATGCCTGGTTCATAGGTTTAGAACTGGAAGTGACCTTTGAGGTTGTCTCATCAAATCCCATCAGCTGAAATCCTGGCTGAGCAATGTCTCCCTGCCCCTCCACCAGCAGGGAATCAGCCCAGAAGATGCCCTGGCCATCCCTAGCAAGGTGGCTATATTTACTGTGCCAGTGAGAACATACAGAGGTGAAGCAGCTAGGTGGGGCAATGGAAAGAGCCTGGTGTCATAAGGCCTGAGTTCAAATCAGACACTTCTAGTTGTGTGACCCTGGACAAGTCACTTGACTGATTCTGTCTGTTTCCTCAACTGTAAAATGTGGATAATGATAGCACCTACCTGCCATGGTTGTTGTGAGGATTAAATGAGATAATATTTGTAAAGTATTTAGCACAGTAGTTAGCACATAGTAGGGGGTATACAGTATTGGCAGCTCACATTTCTAAAGCTCTTTTAACCTTTTCTTTTCATCACAACAATGATAAGAAATGCAAGATCTACGTATGCTCTAGTACAAGATGAGAAATGCAAGTGATATAAGAAATGCAAGTGTTATCATTATTATAATTATTATTATTATTATCAAGTATAATCATTATGCCCATTTCATAGATGAGGAAACTGAGGTTTAAAAAGGTCAAATAATTTACCCAAGGACACACAGATGTTAGAATGATCTTCGGCCATATGGGATGTTGGAAAGTATTGTATTTAGAGTCGAAGGAACTGGCTTTGCTACTTACCCCCGTGTGACCTAGGAAAAGTCACTTAATTTCTCTGAGGCTCAGTTTCTTCATCCATAAAATGAGGGGGTTCAACTTGAAGGCCTTGAAGGTTCTTTTCAGCTTTAAATCTATGACCCTATGACATTAAGTACAATGCTTCCTCCTCTACACATTATTGTTTCTCAGTACAGATGCTCAGTGTGAAAAAGGTTCAGAGGAGAGAGAGAGATCAGAATTCATTTCAGGAACCAGACTCCAGCTCCCTCTGAGTCCTGAGGATGTATCTAGCTGGAGTCTTGGTTCAGCAACTGCCCCCAGCCCATTCCACCAGCATGGTGTTAGCCCAAAAGAGGATGCACTGGGCACCCCTAACAGAGTACTATACTTACTGCGCCCATGAGAACATGAGTGCTCCCAACATATACAGAGACCATCTGAGGGAAGAAATGAAAAATTTCAAAGGTTAGTGTCACAGGGAGCTAGATGGTACAGTGGATAAAGTGTTGGGCCTGGAGTCAGGCCCATCTTTCTGAGTTCAAATCTGGCCGCAGACACTTACTAGCTATGTGACCCTGTGCAAGTCACTTAACCTTGTTTACCTCAGTTTCCTCATCTGTAAAATGAGCTGGAGAAGGAAATGGCAAACCACTCTGGTAACTTTGCCGAGAAAACCCCAAATGGGGTCATGGAGAGTTGGACATGACTGAAACGATGGAATAACAAGTCTTGGGGAGTACAAGGGATAGAACTAGTTAGATTTCATAATCCCAAAGAAGGAAGGTACCAGAGTGGTCGTTTATCCCTAAGCAGGAATGCCCTCTATAACATTCCTAAAAAGTGGCCATCCAGCTTCTGCTTGAAGATCCCCAGTGGTGGAAACCCCACTCCATTCTTAGGAAGCCAGTCCCATTACTGGACAGCTCTGATTCTAGGGAAGCTTGTCCCCCATCTCATAGTGAGCCAAAGTCTTTCTCCTTGTCATGCGGTAGCATCATAGGTTTTGATCACAAATTTAGACAACCTCTAACTCGTAGGTGCTTGAGAAGTGCCTGGCCGATTAAACCCAATTTAATTGGTGGACAATGTCAAAAGTCCCAGAGAGGTCAAACAGGATAAGGATTTAGAGAAGACTGTGGATTTAGCAGTTAAAAGACCTCTGATAACCTTTGAGAAAGCAATCTCAGTAAAGTGGTGAAGTCAGAAGCAGATTGCAAGGGACTGAGAAATGAGAGGGAGGTGAGGAAGCTGGATTAGGACCTTAGAGATCATCTAACCTATTCTACTCATTTTATAGATAAGGAAACTGGAGACCAGAGAAGTAAACTGACTTGTCTGAGTTCATATGGATAATAAGTGACAAAACCAGGATTTGAACCCAGGTTCTCTGACTCCAGACTCAGTGCTCCTTCCATGACCAGTTTTGCCTTCTATCTCTAAGTAAAACTAGTCTAATCTCTCTTCCCCATGATAGCTCTAGAAGACAGGAATCACCCCTCACTCCCTTACCCAGTGATCTCTTCTCCAAATTAGATATCCCCATCTCTTTTAATGGTCCTTCCAAGTTTCCAGTCTCCTCCTGACTTTATGACTGAGAGGAGTGAATTGGGGGAGAGGGACGAGGGTCAAGGATGGCTGAATAAAGTCTTCTCACTTCTCTTCAGGACCATATCAAACCATCCAATACCCTTTCTATGGTGCTTGGAGGTAAACCACCCCATCCCTTTCATTTATCTAGTTGATGAATCCATTCTACTTCTCTTTCTTTCACTCTTTAAACAATCACAAGGAAGATTCCAGGAAATGAAGAGTACCTTACTGCTGTCAAACATGACAATGTCAGTCTCACTTGGAGTTCGGTTTTTGTCCCAGTTGGAAGCATCTTCAAAATTGGTGCTTGGAATCCACTGCTTGTATACAGCAACGGAAACCTCTATCAGAGGTTGAGGAGAGAAGAGAAGCGGGGAAAAAAAGACCAAATGAAACTCAAGAGGCCAGCCAGGGCAGGCTTTTGTCTCCACGCCTCCACCCTCTTTCAATGGATGCTCCTAGATCGAATCTCCAGGACCCACTCGTATACTGCCAAAGAAGTACATCCTAGTATTTGACATAAATCTTTCCTGTAACAATTCAAAGAAATTTCTAGAACTTGAGAATATTAGAGCTGAGAGGAGCTTTAGAATCATAGACCATAGAATAGCAGAGCTGGACCTTAAGGACCATAACTGAAGGCCAGAAGGGGAAAGTGACTTTTGTCCAAAGTCACACAGTTAAGGCAAAGCCAGGACCAGAAACCAGATGACTCTATTTGAAATCAGAAGATCCAAGCCTTAGTTCTGTTACTCCCTGCCCATGTGACCTCAGGCATATGACTTCAACTTTCTAGACTTTGGTTTTTCTCACCTGTAACTGGGGGTTGGACTAGGTGATCCCTTTCCAGCTTTAAATCCTCCAACCCAAGTGTCTTTTAGTGACCCCTCCAAGCTTCCAGTCTCCTCCTGACTTTATGACTGAGAGGAGTGAACTGGGGGAGAGGGACGAGGGTCAAGGATGGCTGAATGAAGTCTTCTCACTTTTTGTCATGACCATATAAAACCATCTGGTATCCTTTTCATGGTGCTTGGAGGTAAATCACCCCATCCTTTTCATTTATCTAGTTGATGAACCCATCCCACTTCTTTCTCCAACACCCCAGTGCATTCCCTCTAAGCAGGCAAGTGCCAAAATTAGCCAGGGTCCCACTGGGAAAGCTGGGGACATACAGGCACATACAGAATGTAGCTGTCCAGAATGTACAGATTCTGCTACTGCCCCTGGCCCGCCTGCTAGGAGGAAGCATCCCGGGATAAGGGCTGAGTTCTGCCCACCCTGCAGGTGGCCAGGCAGGAAGTTGTAGTCTCTGCAGGTCAGTTGCTAGACCATAGTAACCCTCTAAATTAAATAGCGCAACACAAGGAAAGAACCATGGACCAGAGGTCAAGTCCCCAAATCTGACACTTTCTAGTTGGGCAACCAGGATCAAGTTACTACCTGTCAGAGACTCACTTGACTTTTTGCAAGACAGGGACCACAGTAATTTCACTAGCTTTCTTACCAGGCAAAGGGCCCACTAACCATGAAATGCTATAGAGTACTCTGTTGTTACTGCTGTTGACAATACTATCCTGTTAATCAGAAGCTCTCTGAGGCTTGCAGGAGACACATCCTGTTTTTATTTGTGCCCACATGAAAACCTCATCCCTGGGATTTCCTCATGCAAGGCAACCAGCAGCCCAAGTTCCTTCTCTTAGTCTCCTGTCTCTCTTGGAAACAAGAACAGAATCCAAGGCTTTGTGGAGCCTGGGGAGCTGTGGGTGGATGGATGGGAGTGTGTGTTGATCTGAAAGAAGCCCATTGAGTTCAGTGAACTTGAACCAGGGCTGTGGGGGAGACTCCCTGAGGAGAATACAAACTGAGCTCATCAAGCCTGAGGGGAGAGGCAGGAACAGGGAAATTTGACAAATTAAATTAAATTCAACAAATATTCCACTTTCCCTCCCTGGGTCTCAGTTTTCTCCTTTGCAAAATCAGGAGGTTGGAATACATAGTGTCTAAGGACTCTTCCAGCTTTAATTCGTGGGCTCTTTGACCTGTGATCTAAACTCAATTTCCATAGATAAATATTTCCTATGTATAAAGCCCCATCCTGGGCACTGAAGTAAATAGAAAGCTGAATAAGACATCCTTCTTCCTCTCAAGGAGTTCACACCATAGCAAGGGAGTTAACAGACTAGTTGGGGTAGGTATGGGGGATCCTGTAGCAACCCAGATCTTCTTCAATACCTAGGGCATTTGGGAAATTTCTTTTGGGGAGGTCAGAGAAGGGGCATAGCTTACGGATGCCTCTGAGAGCTCTTATACCAGCCTTGTAGAGACTCTCTGGCCACTTGGCCATGGACAACAGAGGTCTCTCCCTCTGCTAAATTCCTATAGCCTTCAGGTGGAATCACAGGACCTCAGAGTTAAGAGTCTTAACCTTAAGGGGACATCTAGATCCAAACCGTACATCAAGAAAGCAATGTTCTCCCCAGCACAGGGCCATCCAGCTTCTGCCTGAAGACATCCCACAACAAGGAGCATGGGGTAATGGAAAGGGTATAGCATCAGAAGTCAGGAGGCTTGGGTTCAAAATACTGCCTCTAATACTTATCCATTGTGTGACCACTGATAAGGCACTTCACATTCCAAATGAGATAATACATGTGTGAGGGGGAATTGCATCACTCTGTACTTGCTTAGATGGCAAAGTGTTATACGAACTAGTATTCTATTATTATCTCTGAGATTATTTCATCATCTGTGAAATGGGAAGACTGAGCTCAGCCTACTTCACAGTTAAGACAAGGAAAGAAGTAAGTAAACTTTAAAACGATCTATGGATGTGTTTTTGTTACCCATCAACTAGCTTTTATTAAATGCTTGTGTTGTGCTAAGTATATAAAGACAAAAACAAAATAGTCCCCTCCTTCAAGGAGCTTACAATCTATCTACTTTGAGCCTGTTCCATTGATTTAAATGGAGAGGCTGATCTCAGAATTGGGCAGACATGGGCTCGGGTTCCTTCCCTGATCCAAGCTGGTGACCCAGGCCAAGTCAATCAATCTCTTAGTGCCCCCAGGCACCTCTATAAAATGAAGACACAAAACAGTTGTCAATCTGAGTTGGTGGAAAGAATTTTCTCACTGGAGATTTCTTGTGCCAATGAAATAATAGATCCAACCCAATATTGTTAGATATGATCATACACGTTAATATGTTTTCTATCTCGTTTCTAATTTCTCATCTGTGTGTTTCCACAAAGTATTAATAAGCCCCAAAGAAAGGTCTCCCATATATTGGGTAGATCTTCTATGGAGAATTTATGGGAGGGTATGGCAAGAATCACAATGAATGACAAGAAGTTGTGGGAAGGTGGTGACCATCACTGGGGAAGGGAGTAACCCTGTTCTACTCCCATTCAGCTTTTTGGAGACAGAGGCCCTGAGACTGGGATCTAGTGGATGTTCAGTAAAGGTTTATAGGTTTGACAATTCATCCAAAGTCATAATTCCAGGCCAAGAGTAGGGCATGTGTGCACACATGTATTTATATTTATATATGTGTACATATACATACACATATGGGTATAGACGATATATAGATATACTACTAGGTGTATAAAGCTATATAGATAAGCTCTCTATATATATATAGGCTACATATAGATAGAGAGATGGTTGTTGTTCAGCTGTTTTCCAGTTGTGTCTAACTCTTTGTGACCCCATTTGGGATTTTCTTGGCAAAGATACTGAAGTGGTTTGCCATTTCCTTCTCCAGTTCATTTTACAGATGAGGAAACTGAGGCAAACTGGGTTAAGTGACTCGTCCAAGATCATATGGCTAGTAAGTGGTCTGAGGCCAGATTTGAATTCAGGAAGATGAGTCTTTCTGACTCTAGGCTGGGTGCTCTATCTACTGTGCCACCTGCCCCAGATAGGGAGGGAGAGAGAGAGATAAATAAAATAGAGCTATATTTGAGAGAAAGAGAGAGAGAAGGTACTTCCTCTTTTGTATGTGGACATTTTGGCTGCCAAAAGAAGTGGAAAATATTTTGTGTAAGGAATACTGATAAAATCAACCTAAGAAGAAATAGTCCCTCAGGTATAAATTCTTAAGGACACAAACTGTTCTGAGGACAAAGAGAAAAATGTTCCTCAGATAAATGTGCTGAGAGGATCTCTTTGAAGGCAGAACACTGGTTAAGTTAAAGATGACTGTAATGCATCATGGTCCATCAGTTCATTCACATATGATTGTTTTTTAGTTTTGAAGGATATAGCTGGTAAACGATGAATCAAATATGGGCAATATGGAATGATCTTATGAGTACTGGGGCCACACTTGAAAGAAAGGTATATTTTTTTGAGTTTTACATCATAAGTTAGAGATGAGTGGCTGCTTACAAGGCCGTTATTTGCGGCATTAGAAGAGGCAGGTCGATAGGAAGGAAGACAAGGAGATAGGAAGGAGATACATGGCCAGGTGAAGACAGAAGCAGGAGAGGAAACTGAGAACAAGAAGAACAGAAGGAATCCAGATAGAAGACACAGAAAGCAATAGAGGAAGCTGCTTACGGCTGAGGTTACAGGCAGCCTCTGGAGCTAATTTGCTGGGTATTGTGTTATTTACAATAGAGGCATTGCTTTGCCAAGGGCTGATTGGCTGGAGAAAGGGTGAATCAATTGAGAGAACTGACTGAAGCCAGATAGGTTGCAGCTTCTAGAATCTGATCAAAAGAAAGCAGAGTCTTTTGCTTTTTTTTTTAAGCTTTTTGGTGAGGCAATCCGGGTTAAGTGACTTGCCCAGGGTCACACAGCTAGTTAAGTGTCTGAGGCCAGATTTGAACTCAGGTCCTCCTGACTCCAAGGCTGGAGCTCTATACACCGTCCCATCTAGCTGCCCCTATCTTCTGCTTTTTGAAGAGTTATGTGGGCTCATTGCCCTGTAGCACCACCTAAAGCCTGCTAAAGGGGAAACCTCTCACAGCTGCCTGTGTTGCTCTTTATTGCCTTCCATAAGATTGAGAGGGGGAAGAAGAGGAAAGATGGGTTTTGTAGCTATTTTGAACTATGCTGATGCATTTTGCCAAAAGAACATAACACTTTCCCAGCACCTTGCCAAGAGGGTGGGTGTGTGCTAAAAGAGCTTGACATTGCTTCAGTGGCATGAGAATAGCAAAATAATGACATCCAGCAGGAAAGCTGGGAGGTCAAGCAGGGGAGTAGATGGCAGAGAAGCATTCCTGCCCAGCAGGTGAGGTGTACAGGTTGTTTTCTAAAGAGACCAAGGACCTCGAGACCTGCTGTCTCAAGTCATGGGTTGTTCCAGGCATAGAAACATCCCATTCCTATTCAC